ATTAAGATTCAACTTTACACTTTTTGCCAAAAATGGCGTCTTCAAATTTTCAACAGAGATGACAAGTTCATTATTTTAGCCAAAATGACAATCTTTTTGTAGGAGTCCAAATTTCTCACATTTTGTTCAACCTCCCAATCATCAATTTTAGGAGTTCATCATTACAAATTTGGAGGATATACTACAAAGCCTCTAAAAATTTAGCATCATTCCACAAATCATCATCAACTCAAGTTGAATACCACCTCACAATTTCGTGATCCAACTAGTTGGGGAGTATTGGGAAGTATAAATTTCTTTATATTTGTTGAAGATTTTATGCAGACAATTAAGAAAATATTTAATAGAATCAAACACAATCAAAATTTGAAACAAAGCTCAATTTATGTATTGTTAGAATTCCTAAATCCATGCTTTTCTCCCCATTATTATTTTCTATATTTTGCCTTCCACTCTCACTATAGAAGTGAGTTCATATGTAATCACTTGACAGGTTATGTAATACAATATATAGCTCTTAAGACTTTTATATGGGGACATAAGTCACCACCTATGATTGTTGACTAACCACATTAAATTTCTTATTCATTACTTTTGATTTTACACTTTTATTTTCATATATTTATAAATTTATCACTCTTTTTTACTAGCCCTCTTTGACATCCAAAAATTTTAAGTTGCACAAATAAATGCAACTTTGAAAGCCAAAAATAAGAGAGATAACTTCTCCTATCCCTTGACCTATTCAGCTGCATGACTTAAATACGGAATCCTTTGCTTCAACTGAAAAACCACTGTTTTTCATTTAGGTCATTGGAATTATGATTTCTTGCAACAGCTAGCCTTTGCACATATATATGCAACTGACCCTCAGAACATATATAGTTTCTTGTGCCCTAAATTTTACTAACAATGTTATGGTATAGTCTCCTTGAGGGAAACTTTGACAATGTGTTTTTGACCTTTGAGTTAGTGAATTATATATGCAACTGACCATAGTTTGTGTCCTAATTTTTACTTCTCCAGGTTAAGTTTAGCTTCTCATATACAATTTAATTGCAATCTACTTGTAGATTTGTAAAGCTTGGTTTTGTATCATTTTAAGACAAAGTTTAATAAATTAAATAAGTTTTCAATTTTGGTTATTAATTTTTGAAAATTTATACTCAATGAGTTGTACATTTTAGTTTTTTGGCTTTCAATTTTAGTTATTCATCAAATTTTTAGGATTACTACCTTTTTGATATCATCCAAGTGAAAATTAGATGTCGCATATGTACCATTATATCTGAAATGAGTTGCCAAAAATTATTTGAGAGAATATCTCTTTCATGATTTCACTATCTTTGTAAATCAAGACGTGGGGTCTTGGACAATGATGTTATGCCTTAGATTCTAGAAATTTAACATCGATATGACATTTACATTTTTGCTCTTGGTGAAGAAAACCGTACGTCATACTAATTATCACTTATAAGCCGCCATGGTTGTACCCTTATAATAGATCAAGTCTAAGATTGCAAGGATAGAACAGTCCTCTCCAGCTGGCCTCTATTGTTAAATTCCATAATAATAAACTATACAATAAAAAATAATTCTAATCTTCCCTAAATCCCTCTCGTCATCTCTGAGTTCGACCTCTAAGTGGAGTCAATTTCTATCCACTGGAGCTTCATCAAGGAGAGCTGATTGATGTGTTAGAAAGATATATTAACCCACATTCGAACCATCATATAATGGGTCATCCCTAGTAAATGTCTTCTCAAGTTGACAAGTGACATATTGCTGACGTCGTTTTCAGCTGGTGAATGTGTTTTAACATAATTATTTCTTCCATTGTTCTATGGTGGGATGGTGACAATTTCTTTTTGTTTCTCTTTTTTGATTCCTGAGGCCACACATTCTTCTCATCTTCTTTAGATGCTTTTGGATTTGTTAGATCTCTTCGTTTTGGGTCCCATTAAGAATAATACTCAATGAGGCTGAGGCACCTTTGCTTAGATTAGCTTTTGATTCACCGGACCTTCTCCTCCAGACCTAAAAATACGAGGGGCCGGTTGGCATTATCCCAGAATCTCCTTTACTTGTGGAATATATTAAAGTTCAAGGAGCAGCTGGTTTAAAGAGAAAGGCACCTCAATAACTCTTCTTCTTTTCTTATTTTTCAAATATTCAGGCCACATACCATGAAACACATGTCTAATGATCGTGTTCTTCCTAATATAAACTACCAGTCTACCACCAAAGGAACTATAGTTCAAGACATACAGAAGAATTAAGTAGATATTTTTAGCATCAATTATGTGGTTTAATAGTAGAATTAGATGTACTTTTAACTACAAATTTAAGATTTAATTCTTAATCTTTAGATGTAAGATTGGACCTACCACTTATTTGTTCATCATGTTATTCTCATATGAGTTTTATAACTGCACAATAGGAACTATTGGATGAGGGATAGCTTCCAATATCAAAAGACACATTTCTTATCTAGTAATTCTTGTTTTGTATATAGTTTAGTAACACTTTTTGGTTCCCATATATAGTTAAGATCTAATTGCAAAGGAAAATGATGT